AAGACAGCAGCAGTTCAACAGTTTATCCCCTCTGTTTTTCAGAAGCCAATAGACATGAGAGCCGAGAGACCAAAAATAAATAACAGAAGCTTTTGGCATATGTTTTTCAACGGCTATGCTGCGCCCTNAAAACACTGATATTGAAAATGCCTCACACATGGACCAATGATCAAGAAACACGTTCCACCTGACCAAACACCTGATAACATAATTGTTGGCTCATCAATGATTGATGAGCCAACAATTATGTTATCAGGTGTTTGGTCAGGTGGAACGTGTTTCTTGATCATTGGTCCATGTGTGAGGCATTTTCAATATCAGTGTTTTAAACCAGCTAACACGTGACTTTATGTCAGATTCCTGTGTCTTACGTGGAGAAACGTGTGCAGTGGTTTGCAAAAAGTGCCATGTTGATTTGCAAATTGTGTGAAAAGCTGAAAACGTGTTTAGAGTTTTGGAGATTTGAGCCGATGTTTTGCTCTTTGAGTGTCAGTTAAAATAATTGTGCTTTATGTAGGATTTTAGTGTGTTAGCGATCGATAAAAACTGTAATATGTATTATGGACCTATGGTGAAGTTTCAAATTGATGCAATGTAGCTTCCGGTCACTAGAGGCAGCACTGACCACAATACTGCTGAACGATAGTCAAAATACCGCGATATCTTCAATTTAAGGTCTGTTGTGTTCTTACATCAACGGCACCTCTCTTTTCTGTCAGTTATGTATGTAATTGTTTACTACTGTTAAATAATGGGGAGTTACTGGAAATCTGTCAACCTGCTGGTAAGTTATTATTTTCTTCCTATTGCTACGAGCGAGAGACTGAAATGTTTGTATTGTTTGATACAATATCCTTGTCCTTTGGCTTGCTAAGTTGTCCGTTACTAAACAAAACTGAACATGGACATTCATCTTTTAAGTGGTCAAGAAAGGTGGAAGATGCTCTTTAAGTTCCCAAAATATCTGTATTGTGGGTGTTACAACTGAAAACATGACTTAAAACATTTTTGTATCGACATTTTATAACTTCTTTTTTTCTCTAGATGTGGTTCTAGCTCGTTTAAGGGTAGGTTAGCTTGAGGTTTTAGCTCAGTTGTACCAAAGTTATTATGTTAATGAGTGAGCTGAAATGGTGTCTAATTTGTGTCTGTATTTGACTGTATTTTTATGTAAAAACGTATTCACAAGGTGTCAAATATCCTATACTATCCTTCAGTCCTGAAATGTAATTTCAATTGTATCCTTGAATAGTATTGATTAAGAAAGCAGGTGTTACAAATGTAGTTGTACGCAGGTGCATGTAATTACAGGAAAAGCCCAGGTAACATTAATAACACTAATTGAAGGCTGCATTCCGTATAGGTTCTCAGTTTTAGGGTCCAGCTAATGTGCAGGATAACTGATAACTGAATTGGAATGGAGCCTTCCTTAAAGGTCCCATGTCATGCTTTTCTGTTTATTACCCGTCCCCTTGTGTGTTATGTAGCTTTTCTGCATGTAAACGGTCTGCAGAGTCAAAACCCTACAAAGCTGAGACTGTCCAAGGCACAC